TTACGTGTGAAGCCGATAAGGAATCGAACCGGAGACCTCAGCGAGAGGTGAGTGCGCAACCAATACGCCACCCTTAATTCCATAACTTTAACTTTGCTAATGACTTTTTACATGATTAATATGCTCTTCACATAATAATAATTCAAGTATAAAACTCGTTTTATCATTGTCAGAGGAGCCTCGCGTCGTGATCTATGGGAAGGGAATGTTTCCTGGGAGATCATCTCATGGATCAAATCTATCACCAAGCTTCCAGTGATATTAAAAGGTATTCTAACAGCAGAAGATGCTAAACTTGCTGTCCAACACGGTGCTGATGCTATCATCGTGTCTAATCATGGAGGAAGGCAGTTGGATGGAGTCTTGGCTACGGTGAGTCAGTAGCTCCCCACGATCCATGGCTACACAACTACCGGTTGCTTGACGGGCACACGAGAGGGACAAATGCTCGCGCTGTTCCTTAGACCTAACGGTTCCAGTTGCTTGGCGTAATATTTTATACCAAGCAACTGGAACAGTTAGGCACAGCGCGAGTATTGCAGCGCACTGTATCTGACAGGCTCAAGCTTACTCATATTATGTACAGCGGTAAATAATATAAAAATGAAAGATAAGTTTCCCACTTCTACCCCCTGTGCACCCATTGCATTGCATTGTGCTGCAATAGATCTGTTTTGAGAAGCGTGAGCGCTGTCAAATGTATCGCGTGCTCAGAACCGAAAACGAGGCATTTTTGTTACGTGCGCTATATAGGAAACTTACACAAAAACTTTGAAATTATATGAATGAAGGGATGGCTTGAAGTTTTTTATTGCCGTTCAGAATTAATTAGGATTATGACATTTTGAAAATATGTAGCTCATTTCAGACTAAACCTTCTTTTCAAGGGTCTTAGAAATCGCATATAACTCTATGGTTTCCAAAGCTTTCTTGTGAACTCTGCCCGAAAATGATTCGTTTCTGCGCCTGCGATATTTATGAAAGCGTTCGCGCATATCAGAAATCGTCTATTGTCTACTCAGTTTACTGTTTGTGACAGATTGATGCTTTRCCAGAAGTTGTATCAGCCGTCAATGGACAAATTGAAGTGTATATGGATTGTGGAGTAAGGCTTGGTACTGATGTACTGAAGGCGTTAGCATTGGGTGCACGTGCTGTATTCATTGGTCGTCCTGTGGTATGGGGACTTGCTTATCAGGTCAGGTGGTGAATTGTCTCTGCTTTTTATGCTGTATGTTCTTTTCATAAACKTTCTTTGTGCTTATTAGTTGTTTTCGGTTGTATAAAGGGAGAAGAAGGTGTGCTGAAAGTACTGGAGATACTTCGTGAAGAATTTAGGACCGCCATGATACTAATAGGTAATACACCCTTTACCAAAATGGCGACCGCAAATTCGAATGAGTTCGCAACTTTACCAAAATGGTAGTGAAAAACCAATACCTTTTCTGGAAAGAGCACCTTTACTTTAGTAAACCTACGAAGATTCATTATGAGGTGTTATATCGTCAGAGAAAACTCAAGTCAAAAATTTGATAAATTTAAGGTTTTGTTACACTGTGCAATTTCCTCAGCAACTTCTCTCGCAATGCTTGAAAATGTAGCGTTGTAAGTTGCCGACGTGAGGTGCTACACTATAATGCAATCTCAGCCACTTGCAACATTTTTTGGCTCCTCGGCCGGGAAGAAAATGAGAAATGTGCACATGCGCTCTTGAAAAGAATATGCCTTTAAATTGCGAGAAAAGTTGTTGGATAGACCAAATTCAAAACTCGCACCGATGTGAGGCTTAAGTTGTGAACAAAGGGATCTGGCGTGATTCAAAGCAATCTGGCGTGACTCAAAAGTCACGAATCATGCCAGATCCCTTCGTTCACAACTTAAGCCTCACATCGGTGCGAATTTTGAATTTGGTCTATGGGTGATAATTTTGTATATTAATTTGATCCGTTATATGATTTCAGGATGTTCTGGCCTGTCAGATATTTCACCATCTCTTGTAACTCGTCTGTGCAAGTGTAGTTTATGAAGTGAATATTGCAAATAAAATTGTGAAAATGTCCAAAAAAGCTACTTTTACATCTGAATCGTTTGCA